AACAGGTCATTTAGCAAAGTCATTGATGACTAAAACATTTCTCTTTCTGCAAGAGAAGGTGATTTCTAATCATCTGGTCACAGCTGGGTGATTGATTGATGAGGAGAGCTCCCAATAGTTCAAAAAGTTTGTCTCTTCTTTGGTGTCCACAAATCTTTTCCAAAGTACTTTATAAAATAATCTCTTAATCACCTATCTCAAGAACCATGGAATCTGCAGTCCCTGAACATGTTTTCCCTGTGCAGCCCAGCCCAAATAAACCTGTTCATATGTAGCTATAACTGAAATAGTTCAATTATACAAAATTAACACAGAGATGATACAAACTTACTAATGTATTAATATTTCCCATGGATTGCAAATATATAACCTATATTGTTCTTTAAATCACGAAGAGATTTTCCACTGATTTTTGTTTGTTTTCCAATACTGGTGATTGAACTCAGGGCCTCAAACATGCTATGCAAACACTCTCCACTATCCCCAAATAAAAGATTCTTTGATGATGATGATGGTGATGATTTTGATGTCTATTATCCACATACCTTATGTATGACATTAAATTAATTAAATTATAATAAAGTTAAGCAGCAAATGGTAAGTTATTTCTGGTTGAAATATTTATGAGTATAATTAATTACCTATCAAAGCCAATCATAATTTATCTGGAATTTGGTATAACACAAATTACATTTCATTTTACTATTTGATGAATTAAAGTTTATTCACATAGTTAACACTGGGTTTTTGGAGTATGGGTTTTCCTATATTCATCCATTATTTATCCACTTGTAGCAATGCAATTTATTTCCTTTAATCCCACACCATATAAAAAGGGCAAAACAGAGCCAGATTTTCTGTACTGTTCGTCTAACCACATATTGTATGACTGACTTCTCTATAGATCTGCTTTTCTTATACACAGCTATTCTACAAAAAAAAAAAAAAAAGATTTTAACACACACAATCACACACAAGCACATATATATACACTTTAAAACTTTTATATAGTCATATGTATTGAGGAGTCACCGTGTCTAAAATAGTCCTTTTATTCATTCAGCCAACACCTGCTGAGGGCCTTTGAGAAACAAGACACTATGTTAGGTAGTGGGGATGGAAAAATAAACATGGTTCTGTCCTGAACTCCAATGAGCTCCAAATTTAGTAAGAGAAATAGACATATATATGGAGAATTTCTAAAAAATAAAGCTAAATATAGTCCTAATGAGAAGCACAAGAGAAGAAGAGGCAATGCTTCCTGAAATAGAAAGCACCTGATCTTACTCACAATATGAGGATCTTGAGAAAGAAGTGGCATGTCAGCTAAACTATATACCCTTGGGAACTCTTAAAGTCCCACTAAGGAGTAAGTATGAAAGCAGAGACAGATGAAGACTGCAAACAGGCCAGTGACATGGTCCCATTTACATTTTAGTATGATGATTGTTGTCTATTGGCATGATAGATATTAGGTGACTAAGTCAAGACAAAATAATATATCATTCACTACCAATAGATAGTAATGTATAGCAAGAGAAAAGGAAAAGCTTGAGAGATAGTTAGGAAATAAAAAAATATTAAGAACTAATGATTCAGTCCTGCATTTACTATCATGTATTGTCACTATTTATTACTGATAATGAATAATTAAAAATAAGTACATAATATGTCAGTAAATACCAAGAAATAGAATAAAGACTGTTAAGGGGAAAATGAAGAGATGAAGTGGATTATTTTGTTAAAGGAGTTAGACTTGACATGAGCAGATACTGAGTGAAAACATGAATGAAAGGCGAGATAAAGAAAGAGAGAAGAATGTAGTGAATTGGGGCATATGGTGCTGTGTGTCTCATTCTTTGGCAAAATTCTGTAGTAAGAGACATAATTGGAAGTAACTCACCTCAAGTACCTTAATGTAGGCACCTGCTATTTTGCTGCCAAAACAAGGTAGTCCCCAGGCAACAAAAAGGTGGGAAATATGCCATGGACTTTATCATCAGTCAGTGATGTGGTTCGTTAGCCATCCACAGTAGATGACAAAAATAGATACAAACCTCACTTTTAAGTTTTTTTCTAAATAGAGTGCAATATTAATATTTGCCCCCACAGTGATTTTCTTAAGGACAAACAGACTTGGCTGTAATTATCTGGATTTCAATTATTGGTATTAAAATGGATGATTCAGAATTTTGAGGTTCTGTTCTATAGCCAAATGTGCCAGATGGAATGTGTAAGATACCTGGGCATGAGGAATAACTGTTCTCCTGGGGAAGTTTGCCTGATATCATCCTGGGAAATCCCATGTATGTCTTCCAAATGCAAATGGAAGACAAAGTCCATATAAGAGCTTTAAAAGGCAAAGCATGTACAATTCAACTGAAAGAATCAGACTAGGGTCACTATTCTGTGCCTCAGTTTGTCTAAGATAAACATATAATTCTTAATACACAATATTTAACACATAGAAATACTATGTATTAGTTACCATTAAAATTTTCTTTCCTTGATCAATAGGAATGTATCACATCCCCACAGGTGACACAACAGTGTTTTCATTCACGCTTTTAGAAAATCCATTTTTGAAAAGATATGCTATAAAAGCATCTTGACACAAATACCATAAAAGTTATGACTCTAAAGTAAATTTTGATTAAAGAACTATTGTCATTTGGTGAAAATCTTTTAGAATTCCCTAATAGCTTTTGCTATTGTACTGCAAATTGGTTGATTATAACTATCTCTTCTTCCCTGAAGATATTTTCATTTCTAACCTGAAATATTTTTCAAAATTAAAACACACACATTCAAATCCATGGAAAATTAGAAACAAATGAAAGATGACTTATAAAAAGGTGATTTGCATTTGGAATAATCTTGTCAATTTATCAATTCTATCTTTAGACCACACCTTCAAGCCAGTTCTCCAAATCTTGATTGCCACCATGGTATTCTAACCTACCACAATGCCTTACCCTAACTGCAGGAATCTCCCAATGACTTCCTTGTCATTCTCCAGAAAGTAGTTAAAAGTGATTTTTTAAAAATATACTTTTAGTCATAGATGGATGGAAGCAATACCTTTATTTATTTACTTACTTACTTATTTGTTTTTATGTGGTGCTTAGGATCAAACCCAGTGCCTCACACATGCTAGGCAAGAGTTCTACCACTGAGCCACAACCCCAGCCCTACAAGTGATCTTTTAAAAACATAAATGGGATTACATCACCCACTCCACTTCCCAGCTGACAACTGTACTTGAATTAGATCGAAACTCCTTGGTTTGACTCAGATTCTTCCTAGATCTTAAACCTTACTTCTCTGTTCATTATTTACAGTCATAGGATTCTGTTATTGTTTTTTGTTTTTTTTTTTTAACCAGAGCATCTTTCTTGCCTTTTGTGTTGTAGACATCCCTCTAACTGAAATGACCTTAACCTTATTATGTATTTTTCCCATGGCTACCTCCTCCTCACCCTTCACAACTCAGATTTATGTCATTTAAGTGAGGATTTCCCTAAAGTTTATCTAAAGTCTTTTTTTAATTCAATATCCTCATAACTCATAAAACTTTAAGATTCTTTTTATACATTTGTTTTATTTCAACCCCTCACTATTCAATGAGCTCCACAGGTCCCTAATTTATAATTCTAAGACTGTGAAACCCAAGTTACAGAGATCAGGTTCATAGCAGGTGTTTGGCATATAGGTTCTGGTCAAATGAATGAATAAACATATCAATATGCACATAAAAGCTAAAAAACAGAGTAAAGTCACCAGCTTTGATTTCCTTAAAATGGGTGTATTTCCTGTTCATGAGGTGTTCAATGTTTCTGAAACTCAAATCACTTACAAAAATTCTGTAGACTAACCAGGGCAGTAGAAATAGGGCAACAATGACATTAATTTAAAGAATCACTAAACCTTAAATTGCATTCATATAATAATACGGGTATGTCTTTTTATGAACATTTTTGTTGGTGCATTATAGTTGTACATAATGGTGAAATTTGTGGCTACATACTTGTACATGCACACAATATAACAATTTAGTTTGGCCAATATCATTCTGATATGGGTATGGCTTAAACAAAGATGAATGAATACACTGGCTATAAAGAAGAACTACCATTTATCTGACTGGGACATTAGAACTGAATTCAGTTTGCCATTTTTAGTACTATCGAGAAAGCATTTTAGGACTAAGACTGTCATAGCTAAGACCAAAGTTATATATTTGTCTACATAATTTCCCACTAAAACACAAAATATCTCTTTCCTCTTTAGAATTCCTAACTTATTTAGTCTTAAAAATAAAAGGTAACAACAAAAAGAAAAATGGAGCAGGACATTCATCAGCTACATGTTAGTGATGAGTCTCAGCCTCCTCTACCACCTCTCACCCTTTCCCTACTTAACTTTCATTCCCTCTCCATTCACAGATATATTTCAAATTCCCTTGAGGAATCTTTAAAAAGAGGCAGCTTTCTGATTTATAGCTCATATTTTCCTAGATTGCCTCATCTCATTTCCATTATTTACTTGGGTGTATTTATACCTTGTATTGTGAAAGAGTTAAAATAAACTCTTCACATTGATATTTTATCAACTACATCAAAAGAAATCCAAGGTCTAATGCCTTCCATGTAGCAGGTCAGAGCCCCTCAACCCAAATACCATAAAATATATTCATTTGTCCTGAGTTTTGGTTTTTCTGGGTTAAGTAGAACAACTGTGCTTACCCTTAGTGAACCAGTGGCCAAGAGACCAAGGTGAAGCACAGAGTGAAGAGTCAAACATCCCAAATCATCATAGTGCAATCACTGAGATATGGATGCATGCATTTCATATGTGTGTATTTCATGAGTGGAAGTGTGCTACTGACAAAGAAGAATGAAAAACAATGGAATGACAGAGCTACAAATTCTAGACCTTGGACAAACCTCCTGAGCTGTGTGCCACTGTTCTCATCTGTTACTCCTCATCCATCTCCTTACCAGAGCTGCTGCAGTACGAGGGGTCAACAGGCCTTCCATTTTTATCAGAGCAGGCGATTGCTCGAAAGCGCATGCCTTCTCCACACTCTTTGCTCTCTCCATGTATCCGCAGTCCTCGCTGGGGCTCCCTTTTATCTTCTGGAAGAATGCAATCTGACCAGTTTCCATAAGGTTGGGATATAAATACATCACAAGGACAGAGCTCTGCTTCCACTAGAGGGTACAGGTGAGCATCCTGGCATTTCTCCTTCTTTCTGCTTTTTCCTGTTCCAACAAGAGACATTGATGCATTAATTTCATATAAGCTGTTTTGTTAAGAGTCACTCATATTTTTGCATTTACAAGTCTCAGAATATTAAACCTCAATTCAGATAGATTTTCTTTTTCTTTTGGCTTGAAAATAAATCCTAGGACAAGGAAGAAACTCCAAGGGCAACTGGAAAACTCAAGTTAATTTGAAGATAAAAATAATTTCTTGTGGGAATACAGTACAAAATGCTTAGATGTTTTACACAGTGACTCAAGGACTAGAAAAATTTCTTATTAATTTATTTAATATTGTACTCTCTGTATTCTATTTATAATAACAAATGGATTAACCTTATGTGTATTCTCCTAGAAAATAATGGTTGCCATGAAACAAAAGAGTTCAAGTACTAAATCTCTCTTTTTTTTTTCTTTTCTTACAAGTAAGTTTTTAAAACTGGATCTTAAAATGAGCATAGGGATCATTTCAGCTATGATGGACCAAACTGAGCTCATTTTGGCTCCTGCTATCATATAGCTCAATGTTGACACAAACAATAAATTTAAATAAATGGTCAAAAGATGTTGGATAATCTGAATAAAAGCTATAACGTTCATCCTGAGAGATTCATTTAACTTAAGTATTCTAGAATATGAGTTTACCTTACCAGTTGACTTTGATGGACCTTTGAGATATTACCCTAAATTTGAATAATGATAATACAGTATTTTTTCTCAGCTATGAATACTTGATAATCATGTTAAATGGATTCTGATTCAAGCTGTAACTTGATTCAACTATGTTGCCAACACACTTCCTCTAGATTACTAAAAATTTTACATAATTCTATACTTTGTTTTCTCACTAATAAGCCATTAGCTAGAGTCATCCTGGGTTATAAAAAAAAATGTAGGCAGTTTTATTGGTCAATTCCCAATCTCTAAATGTTTTATAAATGCCTGCTGCAAGTTGATGCATGAGCTCCTTCCTTACTGTCAGATGGTTTGCATCACACACAATTCTGTAGGTGTTAGCTGGATAATGGATTCTATCGTCTGCCATGATGCTTATGTTCATATAAAAAAAAAAAATCCTGTGAGGCCTGAAGTTCATCAGGTAATAGCTTAATTCATCTTTGAGATGATGTATCCAGTTGCCGCTATCATTAGGAACATTTAGAATAAGCTTGAGAAGTACAGTACAGCCATGAGAAATTACTGTTGAAAGAGATATCAGTCAGTAGTGATTAGTTCCTTGCTATCAGCGAGTAGAATGCCCGAGTCTATACTCTTCACAAACTTTCATACAGTACTGCTCTGAAACTCCCAGTCTCCATCTCCTCAATTTCCACTCTCTTCTTCTTCCACTTAACCTTATATTCTGAAACTGCCATTGCCTTAAAACTACTCTTTCCAAAGTGACGAACAAAAGTGCCACAGGAAACAATTCCTTATCTTTCAGACTTGATCAATAAAAATTCAGCGTTTACTTTGACTATACTTTTAAAATGGCCTTCCAAAGTTTCATCATAATATACTTTTAGCCTTACCCCAAATCCTCACCATCTCTCTAGCTACATTTTTTATTGATTTTTTTTTTATCTGATAACTTTTCTCTTTGTGTATCTCTCTTAACTGATGAAGTTCCTCAAGGGACCAGCTAGGGTCTCTTTTCTTCTGAGCTTACAACTTTATGCTAACTAAAAAGATTTAATTAGCATCTATGTCTCTTAAGTTCCAAATTAATATCTTCCTCACAGGTTGCTTGTGTAAGCTTTCAAGGACCAATTGAAAGTTATGTGACAAAATCTACCACTCTTCATCTTCATTTCACACCACAATCATTTTCTTTCCTTCTGTGCCGCAGTCTGGCTGGGCACAAATGCCGCAGTCTGGCTGGGCACACAATCACGAGCCACCACACAGCTTGTAGATTCAAACAGCAACTCTTTATTCCCGAACTCACACCAGCCGTCTACAATCACGTTCTGGGGAAATCCACGTTCTCTGCCCAAATCCACGTTCTCTGCCCAAATCCACCTTCTCTGCCCAAATCCACGTTCTCTGCCCAAATCCAAATCCACTGGGCTTCTATCTCCAAAATATACTGTCTGAATCCCCTGAGAACTCAAGGGGAACTCAGGCAGCAGGATACGCCCTATTCTCAGCAGGAATAATCTTAAACCTTAAACCTGGAACCTAAACTGGGAACGCCCTAAACACGATTATCTTAAAACCGGGAACACCCTAATCTGCCTTGGTCCTTGAGCAAGGTCACCTACATTCAATGTCACTGCAACATGTCAGCAACATGGGGTACGCTGGCAAGGAAATTGTCATACCTACTTGGCTAATGGCTCCCAGCATCTCCCCCCTTCTGATTAATTAAACAACAAGCAATGTGGCTTAAGGACCGTGCCTGGTAGGTTGTCCAATTCAACATATGGTTCTTACCGGTCATCGGAAAACTGACCTTTAGGCGTCAGCCTCCTGTCTTAGGTTG